AATTACATAATATAGACTTTCCTAAGGTGTAGGAAAAGGAAAATACGTTGGAAAATATTGACAAATAGCAATCAGTGCAAGTTTACCATGTAAACAGATTCAATCGAGCCTAAATCTGTAGAAGAATTAATTGGCTAGATACTCTGTTCTCTTTCTTCAGACCTTCTCTTCGGTTCTAAGGTTTTGGCTAATTGATCCTCGGCTGGCTCGGTTAGTTGCTCTTCAACATTCCCCCTCAAGATTGGTCGGCGATATTCAGTAAGACCAATCTTGAAGAGAACTTTGTTGAGAACAAAAGAACTAGTCGCCTTAGTAAAAATATCAGCAAGTTGATCCTGACTTCGTGTGTACATCGGAGATATAATACCATTTGTGATCTTCTCTCTAATAAAGTGACAGTCAACTTCGATGTGCTTCGTTCTCTCATGAAATACCGAGTTGGCCGCGATGTGTAGTGCTGCTTGGTTGTCGCAATGAAGGGGAACCGGTTGCATTGAGTCGATTCCAAGATCCTTCAAGAGTTGCTTCAACCAAATGATCTCACTAGTGGTGTTTGCCATGGCTCGATATTCGGCTTCCGCACTTGATCTTGCTACCACGGTTTGTTTTTTGCTTTTCCATGTGACAAGATTACCTCCGATGAAAGTGCAATATCCAGTTGTGGACTTCCGATCCGTTCTGTCTCCTGCTCAATCTGCATCGCAATAGCCAATGATCTCCGTATGATTGTTTTTCTTCATCCATAAGCCTTTGTTTGGTGTCCCTTTCAAATACTTTAGTATTCGATCCACCATTTGCCAGTGAGTTGTAGTTGGTGCGTGCATCCATTGACTAACCTGGTGCACAACAAAGCTTAGATCATGTCGTGTAATTGTGAGATAGATAAGCTTACCTACAACGCGACGATATTGCTCCGCATCTTCAAGTAATTCCCCCTCGCGTTGATCCTTGAAATGCTCCTCAAGTGGTGTGCGGACGGGCTTGGCACCAAACTTTCCTGTCTCAGTGAGAAGATCAAGTGTATATTTGCATTGCGAAAGAAAAATGTCATGTGAAACCCGAGTAACTTCTATCCCAAGAAAATATTGAAGCGGACCAAGATCTTTAATATCAAAGACAGTTTGCAAATAAAGTTTTGTATCATTAATGCCAATAGAGTCACTACCCGTAAGTATGATATCGTCTACGTAGACTAAAAGAACGATGATACCCGATTCTGTATGTCTAATGAATAGTGAGTGGTCAGAATGGCTTCGCAAGAAGTCTTTTGCGAGAAGGGCATCATGCAATTTTTGGTACCATGCACGCGGAGATTGTTTCAACCCATAAATGGCTTTAGTGAGACGGCAAACACGATTGTCGTCGGTGTATCCCGGCGGTGGTTTCATGAAAATTTCTTCTTGTAGGTCGCCTTGTAAAAATGTGTTTTTGACATCGAGCTGTGACAGAGACCAACAAAGATTAGCGGCAAGAGAAAGTATAACACGAATAAAAGGAATTTTAGCAACATGAGCAAAAGTGTCAGTGTAATCTTTCCCGTATGTTTGAGTGAAGCCCTGTGCAACTAAACGAGCTTTGTACCGCTCGATCTCTCCATTACTTTTATATTTGATTTTGTATACCCATTTCGAGCCAATGGCTTTCTTGCCGAGAGGTAGGTCGATGAGCTGCCAAGTCTGATTACGTTCTAGAGCAGCTAGTTCTTCATGCATGGCTTGAATCCACATCGGCGAATCCTTGGCTTGGGCATAGGACTGTGGCTCAGATTCCTGTGCAATACCACTAAAAAACAATTGTGCATGGGGAGGGAAAAAGTCAAGGGAGATAAAAGAACTTATCGGATAAGCAACATTAGTTGCATGGTTCTTGGTGTTTGCAAGAGTTTTCCAAGAGGGCTTCGGAGGACGTGTACTGCGACGTAATTTCGGCGGGGAAGGAATAGCAATGAGGGGAACAGAACCAATGGGATCTGCATCATCAGGTTCGACATTTACAGGGACATGCGGTGCTGGAGGAGTTACCGAAAGGTCCGTTGAAGGACCAGTGGGAGCAGATAACGCCGGAGAAGTCACCGGAAGTGCCGGCAAGTCCGCTTCTTCCCCCTGTCGAGAACCTGCATTAGTAGAAGGAAGAACAAGAGGCGAAACCTGCACAGGAAGGTTCAGCTGTGTGACTGGGACGTGGAGATCATGGGGACGTGAATCGACATCAATAACGTCGGGCTGAATAGATCCATCGAGAACATCCGGCGTCCGAGGAAGAGAGCCAAGATGCTGATAAGAGTAGCGGAGCTGTTCAGGATATGGATTTGAATCGGTTCCTTGAACGAAAAGATTGTCAAAGGCCTTCCAATCTATCTTGTCAAAGTATCCAAGATTTTCGTCAAACTTCACGTCACGGGAAGTGTAGATTCGCTTTGTTTCGGGATGATAGCACGTGTACCCCTTTTGGTCCGATGGATAGCCCAAGAAAATACACCGTATGCTCTTTGGTTGAAGCTTATTTCGTTGCCCTTCATCTATATGGACAAAACAAACACAACCAAAAACGCGTAAGTGTTCAAGAGAATCTTTACGAGTATGTAATACCTCAAAAGGCGATTGGTCGTGAAGAATTTGAGTCGGTAGCCGATTGATAAGGTAGCAAGCCATCTTCACCGCATCGCTCCAATAGTGTTTCGGGACATTACGATGATAAAGAAGCGTGCGAGCAACCTCCATTAAGTGTCGATTCTTACGCTCGGCAACTCCATTTTGTTGCGGTGTATTCGGACAAGACCGTTGGTGAATAATACCGTGTTGATGAAGAAAGTTCCGAAATGAATGACTAGTGTACTCGCCGCCGTTATCCGTGCGAAGACACTTAATCTGTTTACCAAATTGGTTAGCAATAAAAGCATGATATAACTTGAATGTTTCGAACACGTCGCTTTTGTTATTTAAGAAATATAACCATGTATATTTTATTTTTTCATCAATAAAAGTGACAAAGTATTTATAATTATCCCTCGAAAAACATGGTGAGGTCCATACATCGGAATGAACCAAATCAAATGCATTATCAAAAATTGTGTTTGAAATAGGGAATACCGATCGACAATGTTTACCAAGCACACAAGCTTCACAAAGATCATGATCTACGCTAGTCTTGGTGTTCGGAACAAGTAATCGGAGGACTTTATTATGAGGATGCCCTAATCTAGCATGCCATAACGAATGAGAAACATGAAATAGAGAATGCGAGGAGCGATGAAAATCTTCGATATAGTAGAGATTGCCATGCTTGATTCCTTTGCCAAACGTATCGTCCGACTCAGTATCCTGAAAAAATACCCCATTAGAATCAAAGAGAACACGACAAGAAGTGTCATGAATAAGTTGTGAAATAGATAATAAGTTGGTGCTAAACTCGGGAACATATAGAGCCGAGAATTCTTTACCAAATAGCCGAACTAAACCGGTTCCTTTAATAGGAACAAACTTACCATTAGCAACTGTTACCATGCCATACGAGTGTTCAAGTTTAAAGAATAAAGACTTATCATTAAACATATGAGTAGAGGCTCCAGAATCAATCACAATGTGTGGGATAGAAAGGGAAGAGAAATTACCACTGTCTTTGTCTTTCAAGGAAAGAACAAATTGTTTGAATTCATCTTGAGTAAACGATATAGTATTCCCGGCACTCATGGCAGCAGCCTTCGGAGAAGCTTCACGGTATCGGGCTGGCTTAAGATGTGGATTAAGAATCCAACATCGATCACGCGTGTGACCAGACCAAACACTTTGTCTTCTTCTGTACGTTGAAGCGAGACCAGGGGATCAACAGTGGAAGGTCGGATCTCTTCTAGTTCAGACCAGAGTGCCGTGTAAGTGCCTTGGATCTGATTGAACTGTTGGCCTTGTTGCTGCAGGTTAGCTAACTTCTTTTTAATCTCATAAATTCGACTGATATTAGACAAGTTACCGTAAACGCTTTTCAAAGCGTCCCACAAGGCTTTGGCAGATTCCATAGAGATGAAGGACTGGAGCACGTTGTGGTCAAGGGAACCTTGCAGGAGGACCAAGGCAAGTTGATCATCTTGATGCCAGCGTGCTTTCTCCTCGGTTTTGTCAGTGGGTCGTTGTCGAGGACCCATTTCAAGAGCCTCTCCTTCGGCCTCTATCTGTGGAGGGGAAGAGGGTGCCTTTCCATCGACAATATGACTCCATAATCCCTTGTTACTGAGCGTTGCCTTTGCGGCTTTCGACCAGTAAAAATAGTTTTCCCCATTAAGAGTGATAGGGATCGGTTTGGTCATGTGCTCCATGATACCGAAGAAGAGGAAAAAAAACAGGGATATGGGTTTGTGTTTCTATCGAGAAATAGGGAGAAGAACAAATAGAAGAATAGATGAGAGCGGAAGTGATCTTAGAGCTCTGATACCATAAAGATTTTATCAGAATCGTTATCAAAACAGAAGAGAAGACATTGAAGAGGAAGAAGATGAACGTGAGAAGAAGTTCAAGAAGAAAAAAATATTCTCTGTTCTGATATTATTCACAGGTAAATAATTACATAATATAGACTTTTCTAAGGTGTAGGAAAAGGAAAATACGTTGGAAAATATTGACAAATAGCAATCGGTGCAAGTTTACCATGTAAACAGATTCAATCGAGCCTAAATCTGTAGAAGAATTAATTGGCTAGATACTCTGTTCTCTTTCTTCAGACCTTCTCTTCGGTTCTAAGGTTTTGGCTAATTGATCCTCGGCTGGCTCGGTTAGTTGCTCTTCAACAATATGTCATCGTTCCTATTTGTTTTCATGGACCGTCTTCGATGATTGGATGTCTCAGCATGTTTTTCCGGGTTTTCGGCAAAAGGAATACGCCCTCCCAGCAATAGATCTCTCGGACTAAGTGGAACAAACTTGAAACTGAATGGTTCCACATCTTAATCCTAATGCAATTAAATTATGATGGATTGCCACAGGAAACAATTATATCTTAAGATCACCAATTCGAGAGAATCATATACATTCATTATATATAGTAAGATGGAAAATGAATATCTCAATACCGTTCTAACCAAAGAAACCCTTTATAAATTAATCTTTACACGGCTAATGAAATCTCTGCCGCTTGGGAACATGGTGGATGCCCGACACAGAACAACCGACGAAACTGAGCATGGATGATGACGTCAAAGAACACCCTCTTGAAACCTCGTAAGAGTCCGATATCCGAGGAACTCTGAAGTTCTGCTGCAATGGCGGAGGGTTTCGCCACCGCGGAAGAGGACCTGCGAGGAGCATAGTCTGAAGCAGTGGCCCTGATTCCATCACAGTCTTCAGAAGCCTCCCTTTCACCGGCAATGCCTTCCCTTCTACCATCTTGTCGATCAGAGCGTCCACGGGATCGATCTTGACCGTCGAAGGCGAGACGTGACAGTTCTGAGAAAAGGGTATCCGAGAATCGCTGGCTTGGTTCCCGAATCCGAATCCGTGAACCGGGTCGGCCACGTTGTTGAGGTCGGAGAACTCGGGGGAAGTGACCGGTTCAAAGAACGAGTCGACGGGTGGGGAGCCGAGCGAGAGGCTGTTTGACTCGGTGATGCTTGAGTTGACCTTGGGATTCGGAGGCATTGCAAGAACATTGTCGTGATCTGTCGCGATCTGTTTCTTGAGGAGTCTCTGGAACTGGTCCTTGGCTTCGTCTCTGTCCTGACATGCGAGCTTGAGGAGATGAAGAAGCTTCTTCACCTCTTCTCTGTGAAGTCTCGTCTCTTCGTCTGCCTTCGCTTTCAGAGCCTCCAGTTCAAACGAAGTGTACTGAAGCTTCTGCCTTAGTTCGTCAATGCTCTGCTTAAAACGAATCGGATCTTTAGATTTGAAGAATCAAAGAACAAAAAGCCGAATTCTTGCGATGACAGTTGAAATTGTAAAAAAAAAAAAAACAAGACCCACCTCTTGGTAAAACCATATAGAACCCAATTCCTCCATTCTTGTCTGTCTTTTGCTCTGTTTCCTTACACAACAGAAGTGTCTCTCTGTCTGTTGCGTGTCTGAGAGAGAGAGAGAGAGAGAGAGAGAGAGAGAGAGAGAGGGAGGAGGAGGAGGCTGCAGAGAATGGTTTGCAGTTGCTCTTATAGAGCAGAAGAAAGTCATGATACGAAGGGGGGAGAAAAGGGTAGTCCATACATTAAATAAAATAAAATAAAATAAAATAGAAGTATAAGTTTATAACTAATTGGAACCAAATATTTTTTTTTATATATTTGAATAATTGTCAAAAGATTCCATATTTGTCCTCTCTCCCTGCGAGTAACATTGAGCTCCTTCCAAGTACTCTCTCCACCGTCATCGCCTTATCAAGGAGGGGGGCCCTTGTCTCTTGCTTAAAATAATGTGTTATTCAATATTTTCGTATTCGTAATATATATGACATTTATTTTACATATATAATTATATGTTTATAAAATGAAAACCTTTCTCGAGTGGGCTATCTCTCTTGTTTTTTTTTCTAGTCACATATCCATAATTGTAAAAGGTTTTCAAACTCTTGCATAAAAATCAATTATCATCGATCTTTTATTTTTTTTTCTGATGATGGCATAAATTTAATTTTTATTTTTGTTCTTCACAATTTTTTTATAAGAAATATTAAAAATTATAATACAAACTTATTTTAGAATTTAAAGACAAACTTAAATAATTATAAATAAAAAAAAACAAGACGATTTCGTGTCGATTTTAACGATCCATCATCTACATCAACTAAATATAAATATATAAAAATATACTCCATCCGTTTCAAAATATTTGTAGTTTTGGGTTATTTTTCATGTTTCAAAATATTTGTTATTCTACATTTTCAAGACATTTTTTTTACAATAGTTTCCAATTTTATCCCTATCAAATTCCAATAAATTATTAATGATAACATTGTTTTATCATTAAATAAAGATATATGTGACTTTTTTTCTCTTTTCTTAAAAAATATAAAAATAACCTAAAACAATAATTATTTTGAAATGGAGGGAGTATTCAATTATCCGAGAGGTATTATTTTATTAACTAAAAAAGAATGTCTTTAGATTTTACTTTCACGTGCATCATTTACATCAACATAAATATAAATATATAAAATATACGTATGAATCCACACACATATTATATATATATATATATATATATATATATTAATCAAGAGGCTCAAACATCTAATTTCCCAAACAAGCCAGTTGTAATGATATGAAAGAGGCAATTTCCTAAGTCGTGAAATTGATTTAGCAACTTCCATCCCCATTTTTTAAATGTTAGCTACTTTTCGTCACATTAATTACTCATTTATAATCGATAATTTATTACCATAAACCATAATAGTTTCTATTATTGGAGCGATACACAATAATAATAATTCAGGAAACTAAACGAAATTTCTTGTGGCGGGAGTTAGTCAGACGCGATGATAGGCTGAGATTATGCCCATTAATTTCCATTTCAATTATTACATTAAAATATTTTAAAAAACTAAATCCTACATATAGTTTTTGAACAACCATAAGTGGTCATTTTATTAAAAATTTAAATAAAGTGTAATGTTTCTCATTTTTAAACGAATAATAAATTGTTTTTGCTAATCTTCATAAAACTAATTAAGGCAACAAAATCCAAAAACAAAATCCTAGGTAAATATTTGGAATTCTACCATTTAAGATTTAACGGTTTAGTGATCCAAACATATCAATACAAAAATATTACGATTATGATTAAGATTTTTTAACAAAGATATATACAAAATTACCAACTTTGTTCTTTTTCATAACTATTTTGTTACGATAAAAGACAGTATATTTGTCAATATCATTTAATCATGTCATTTAAACATGGAATACAATAATGATCAAACAATATTTTAGTGAATGGGTCAATAAATAATAATATTTATGAAATTAATTGGAGCATCTATTTAATTTAACAAAGAAGTACGCATTAATATATAATATCTAACCAAAAGAGTTCTTAGATTGCCTGACAAGAGGAACTCCATAACAAATAGTTTGACTTAATTCTTAACTAGTATTTTAATTTTATAATTAACCGTGTCCAGCAATTGTTAATGCTTTTTATTCCCGCCAGCCACATGGGTTTCGTCAGTATGAGGATATATATATAATTATATATAATGACAAAATTATACGGTGAATAAATTCTAAATTAATTACATCGATTTAGTTTCTATAAACCCAGTATCCAGTACTGTTAGAGATACATACGCAAATATATTATATGTTTAATTCAATTTAATTTTCTAGTTTGATTAAGTTTCGTTTTAATTTCATAGTTTGATTCAATTTCTTATATATATCTGTATATATACACGTATATAAGAAACTGAACCAAAAAGATCTATTATATATTTGCACATATTTATCTCTAATTACCTAATGTGTATTATGAAATCCATTAGAAAAATTTCTTTTAAATTTTAGCAAATTTAGATTTTCAATTTCCGAAACACCAAACGCTATATGGAACCAAGTTTGATAAGAAACATGATTTAATAATTATCTTCAAATTATGCCAGTTAAGACGATTCTAATTTAATTTAAACCAACTTAAATGATTCAAAGTATCCTAAATATACCAAAATAAATATAGAAATTCAAATTTTAATTTTCGATATGTTGATATTCATCTTCCTATGTGCGTGCGTATATATATAGACACTTATGCGCGAAGGACAGATGACGAACGTGGCAGAGGAATCACAATAATATGCATATAACATGGTTGTCTACTTTTATTTTATTTTTCCAAATTTAAATTTTCTGAAAAAAAATAACGTGGTCTTTATATACTGATAATAGGAAACGGGCAAAATTAAGATAATCAATAAGCTCACAAATGATCATAGATCAAAAGCCCTTAGATTGTCTAATCACATTATTGATGAGCATACCATTATAATTCCATGGTCAAACTATATGCATTATCCAACCATATTATATAATCCTAAGATATCATTAATTTTGTGAGTTTTTTTAGGAAAAGAATGTCATTTTATGCTGTAGAATACATGCGTGTCTGCGTATATATATGCATGAATGATTATATATAAAAATAAAATAAAATCGCCGTGCGTCGGGAAAGAGACAAAAGTCGCTAGGTTATACATGTGGGTTAAGACAAATCCGGCGGATTATAAAACGGATTGTCTTCCCTTCAGTTCAATGTATCCGTGGTTGCTTCATCACATTAGCATATGATTTTGTGATAATTAATTATACTTTAATCCATTTGCATAAACAAATTAAGCGATTGGCCCTTATCTCCAACAGCTGCATTGACGTCTACTTGCTCTGCTCAATAAAATATTTAAGCTCCCAATATTACATCGAGGTCGACATAAACACTGTAAATTACACTATATATATATATGCATAATTATATATGTGTAGTATTATATGTATATTGTCAAATTGTAAGATGATTGTTTGTTGTTATTATCGATACTCAAAAATGAATTTAAATAGATAAAATAATTTACTTTTAGTATCACGCTTAATTCTTTCTTTTTTTTTTGATAACCGAGAGATTCACCTGGGTCTTCGGCTCAACCTACATCCCCTCAGGCCCAGGAACAGCTTTTAGAGGTCCGGTGACAGGGACCCAGAGAGCAACACCCTCCCAACCGAGAAAACACCCCCTCCCTCCCCAGCAGCTGGATTCGAACTGGTGACCGGGGTCCCAAGAGCAACACCCTTTCAACCACTCGCCCACTATCATGCTTAATTCCTTAAAAGGATATATAACTTTTTTTAAAACGTCCAAAAGAAAAAAGAAAAAAGAAAAAAGAAAAAACACGGTAAAATATCTACGTAGGTAAACTTTCGTAATTCTTACGACATACTCTTTTGGGTATCTTTCACATTCTACTATACTATATAATTAATGGTTAATTAGAGTATATATATCTATATAATATCTCACAGCATTGAATCGATTGCAATAGGTCATGTAATTAATCTTTTATCTAAATACACTATTAATCATACTTAAAAGACCTATAACATAGTATCTAGTATCTACCCGTTAGACGATACTATTGTAATTATGCGAAAATTACGAGGACAAAATTGTCCGAAAAAGTTGAGACCGGTTCCCCTTTTCACCGTTTCCCCCGTAACGAGTAACGACTTTACCCGTCGACCTAGCAATGCAATAACGTAAAAAATAATTAAATCGCCACGTGGCTCTCTTGCATGGCTGAATTCTGAGATGTAGTTTACGTACTTTTGAATTCAAATTTTTTGCCCGTCAAGAAAATTTTGTTGAGAGATTCATATTTTACACTGGTATATCGTATTATGCGAATTCGATGAAAAATTGATTTTCATTATTTTAGGAAACACATGGAATATTAGTACGTAATATATACGAAAATTTGAAAAGTTGGTCGTTTTCTTTGAAAGACAGAAAGTTGATCTAAACACTGTGAATAACGTCATGTCCTAACGAGATTGTTTTCCATTTTTTTTAGGGAATCTTAGGCATTATAATATAGTAATGTATAGTAATATATATATATATATATAGGTTTTATCTCCACCGTATAATATTAAGAATGCAACTCTTTGTTAGACCATTACTCAAATTCAGAATATTTCAAAAGTAATTGGCAAAATGTACAGATTTTTTTTTTATTTCCCATCTGACACAATTAGTAACAATATCTGCTAACATGTACCTACATGAAACATTCAAACCCTGTTATTTAACTTAAACCCTTCTTATCCATTTCATAACAGAATCTTTTACCAAAAAAAAAAAAGATATACAAATATAATTAAAAGAAGGAATAATTAGAATTAAAAAAGGCTAAAAAAAAGAAAGAGCAAAGCTAACGAGATTGTCGTGTAGCGGAAGGGCACATGGACGTTTGACGTTTACGTACAAAAAGCCATGTGGGTGCGTATGGAATGTTGCCACGTGTCATTCATACGGACGTACACTACGAGCACCGTGCGGCGAGGGCACGTGCCGATGTGGCTAGCATGCCTCCTCTCCTTTGATCTTATCGCACGTGATCGCTCCTTTGAATTTCTACTTCATCACGCGTGGAATTCTACATCTCTACGAGCCCACCACGAAA